TAAGTAATTCAAAGTCCAACTAGCTGACTGGTGATTAGAAAACAACCGTCAAATCTGCATATAGGAACTTTTGATCAGCAAATATAATTTGATAAATCTTCAGATGAAATATTCACCTACCTTTCGATAGTTAATACAAATCTAAATGAACAATTATCTCACGTTCAACTATGCAAACAGAATTACAGCATTACTGGGGTTTATTCACACCAGGTCATTGAGTATGGGAACCCAGCACCCACTGTTAACTAAAACAGCACCAAGCTGATATCTCAAGATAAACATGGTGTTACAGGCTGGAATCGATCAAGCCCGGTAATTTGTACACAAAGTCACAGCTTTCCAACCACTGGACTACTTATACGCCCTATGTATTTCCTATGCTTTAAGACTGTTCACCCAGACAGACAGTCGGGTAGGTTGAAAGCATCTACATCCTCTGAAAACAACACATACATTCACAAGTCATTCGGCTTTCAACAAATGTCAAGGAAAACTCAACAACCATTTGTCTCATTCTGGTACGACAACAGCTCCCACAAGAATCTGACAACTTATAAGTTAGTCTGTTTAACAATCATCAATGGACCTCAATTCCCATTACTCCACGATATTCAAATTGACCATACAAGTCACCGAAATCGACAGCAAAAGACTACGTAAGTCAAAATCTTGTTTATTTGAAAAAACTATGTACAAAGGTTTATTATATTCACAGTGCTCGAGGCTTGGAGGGTCAATATTGCGACACGGAGCGAATGACACACCAAACACAAGTGGAAAGACAATGGTACCAACAGCAAAACTGAACTCCCATTCTTTAAGAAAAAGAAATGGATGAAATTACGTTAAACACATGAACATGGTTAGTGATTAGGATTTCGGACAAAGAGACTCTACATATTCATGATTAGTATAATCATGATTACTAGACACAATATCCTGATCAACATCGTCTAAAGGTGCACTAGACATAAGATCGGAACAACTACCACTTGACACAGTTAAATCTGTTACACTGATAAATTCACTATCTTCATCCCACTCAGAACTGGTTGAGCGCGATTGCTCTAAGACAGACCAACAACTATGGGATTTCTGTGAAGAACGCATAGCCTCCCAAGTACTTAAGGCCTTACACAATAGGTGACGGTTAAGTAACTTGCCTGGGCTTTGCTGTTCAAACTTCTTAAGCTTCCTCCTCCCGACGTGGACCAAGCGTTTGAGCAATCGGTAGTTCTAAAATAGAGTAGTGGTTAAAACGGAAAGAGAACCAAACGTACCGACATGGGCAATCGGAGCACCAACACAGCCGTATATGAGAGGGAATTTGAACGACAGTCCCGCCGTAGCACTCCCAATATCCAATATCTTTTTCACGAACTCGTACAAACCAGTTGTCTATTTTGCACTCGTTTCTTGTTCTTTCGATACGGTTCCAGGCATTTGCTAGTTTACAGTTGTCTGGCCTTTCAACTGCACTAATTCTAATCGGTAGGCAGTTATTTGTTAATTCGTATGTTTAGGGATTTGAATGAGTAGGTTTGTTTAAGAGCAGTAGGGTTTAGTGAAATACTTTTCTGAATAAAACGCAATTCTTGAAATGGAAACTCCCACTATTGTACCCTGTTGTACCAATGATGGCATTATTATACTTCTTTTGTTTAACTATTCTTCTTGTTTATAACACTTTTTACGCATAAACTTTCTGTTTGCGTTGCTGCCACTCTTTGCTCAAGCGGCTTTGTAATCTCGCCCACTTTCCTGGTTGAATTTCGGTATTCTTTCAACACCACGAAATTACCAGCAAACATATTCTTTACCTTGTATTTATTTATCTTCTAACTGATGGGTGCATATTCGGTACTCATTGGTGATCATAGTCAATCTCTACTCGATCACAACTTAAATTGGTGAGTTGACGTTTTATTCAAAGAATTCAATTATGATAAGTCTATTATTCATCTATCCTCATTTTAATTAGGTTAAAATACCATTATTAACGTCCTTCAATATATATTATGCTTGCAACTATATTTTAAAATGGTGGGTAGCTCCGAGGTGTAGGTCAATGCATTTTCACCTTACCCCTCCCCGTCACTTCAGGTTGCTCGTTTATTTCACGTGCACGATTTGTGCACTAAAGCTAGGTACTCGGTGGCTACAGGTTCCTAAGTTTCTGTCGTATTGTCTGGGAGCGGCAAGTCTGAACTACTATGCTTCGACTACGCGCTGCAAACATTGAAGGTAATTAGATGGTAGTGCAGATTGTGCTAGAGGACCGAAGTGTACTGATTAAATTATAGATCTGAAGAGATGGCTCCAATAACAACTGCCAGATCTCAAGACGTGCATCAGACACAGCTAGTCTGTGAGAGGGATGATAATCCGTATGTGAGTACGCGTTTATCAAGTTTCTTCTTAAAGCTATCCGCTGAGAGGGCTGTGGTCACCGCGGCTAGCGGAGCATTCCAAATTGTAACGACCCCTAATAATAAAAATTGTGCATGAACCTGAGTGTTCGCACTTTGAATTTTTCGAGGATAACCTCGAGAGTCGTGGTGGTGATGCATTGGTAAGATGCTCACTTTGGGATGATTTGGTGAGCTTATTATCACCTTAACAGATCACCTGTGATACTCCTGTAACTTAGAGAGGATAATCCCAAGTGCTGGAGTCTATCTTCGTAAGTTTTATTTTTCAACCTTATCACCTAATTCGTTGCTCGTCTCTGCACTCGATCCAACAGATTTATGTCTCTTTTAAGGAGAAGGGGTGCGATGACTTTGTGAACCTCAAGTTGTGGGCACGCATATGTCTTAAATAACGCTGAGAATAATTCTGGGGTGATGTGACCAAGTTGTCTTCGCATAATGTTTAAATTTGCATCAGCATTGGTTGCATCCTCTGTACAATTCATACTGATATCCAGGCTTTCAGAGGTTATTAAAACGAGATTGCGCTCTGAGGAGTCATTAGGAAGTGGACTTCAATCGAAGGTATAAGTCGTTTGTGTCACGTGGGATGGAATGCTCATAAAGTGACATTCACTATCCATTGTTTAACAGATGTGAGGTCCTTTTGCAGCTCAATCTAACCCTATGTGCTTCCTATGGACCTACGGATCTTTGCATCGTTTACGTAGATCAATCCCGGCGAGCTAACTGTGTCTAATGGGTGGTTAATAAATATCAGGCAGAGAAGTGGGCTTAACATAGTCCCCTGTGAAACTCCTGATATTGAGACTCGCCAACTCGCGTGCACTGAACTTACTTTGGGGACTAAAATTTTTATTCTCAAGGTAGCTTCTGAGCCAAGATAGGGGTGAGTCAGTGAAGCTCATTTCCATGTACTCCCTCCCCTATTCGTTCACCGACCCTTCCATTACCTTCGATAGTATTGGTATTAATGCGACTGGTTTGTAACAAGCTGGGTCCTTTCCATCTCCTTCTTAGAAGATTAGAGAGAGGGTAGCTTGTTTCCATCCATTTGTGAGTTGGTGTGACGCTAGTGAATGCCTGAACAGGTCACATATCGGTGAACCGAGTTAGTCAGATATTTCCCAGGCAATTAGCCTGTACCAGGTTTGAGTAGTGGGCGGTTGGCCTAATTGATCGGTGAAGTTGGCATTGAAGATTTCAGTGGCTTCTAGGTGAATAAGATCTTCACTAGTTGGAACTTACAGAGCACAAACACCCTGGTTTGAAAGTTTTTTTTTTGCATGAACCTAAACAGATGCTTAGGGTTTGCCCTTATTTTGACAGCTAGCTTCATCTGAAAGCGTCTACTATAACTTTGAACAGTGGCAATGCATCTCTTTCAGAATTACGGTTGGAATCCTTCAGGAAGACCCTAAATTTATTCGAGGCTGTACTTTTAGCCCTTAGCAAGCGTTCAGTGCCTCCTTAACCAAAGTACATTGCTAAGGACAGCATTCTGGATGAGGTCTCTCACTGTTTGCCATTGCTAATCTACTGTGAGCCTCCACCATTTGCGTGGCCGTGGGGCGCGTAAAAGATTCTCGTTTATGCGTGTGTAATTCGCCCTGGTGTAGCAGTGTTAGGACTCATTTTCGTCCCTCCTGAGTGTTTCGTTTGTGATCAAATTAGAAAAGATTGCGCCATGGTCACAAGCTGTTCAAACCGAGTTGGCGATTTCTGTGAGGACTGGCCTCTGCACGTTTTTCCATGCGAAATGCATCCAATCGGAGAAACTATTATCTTCGTGTCATGTGCCGTGGTTTGTTGATCGAGGTCAAATGTTACTAGTGTGTACTAATTTCGGCCTCCTTGTTGCTGTCTCGCAGATCTAAGTCGCCTTTTGAAACATATAATGTGGCCAGAGAGATCATTCTTCCAGCTATATAGAGCTTGAAGCGCCTCAGTTAGGTCCTCCTTAATTCTGAATTCCAAATCCATCAGAGATGGAGACTTCATGATCATAGAGTGTGACGGACGAGGCAGCCGGAAAATACTGATTGCCATGGTATTGTGGAGGTGCAGGCACATGCCGGATGACAACACGGAAAGACTCACACTCTTAAATCTTGTTAGAAAAAGTCTACTTCTTCACTCAAAATCGGGTTTCGAATTGATGTGATATAAAACTTATCCTTTTTGTCGAACCAGTGTGAACCAATAGATACCTTGAACCCCCTTATTCTTGTTCCGGTATGGTTTAAGGTATTCAATGACGTCCAGTGGTTGTCAAATTAGCCCCTCAACTGTATTATTTTGGTAGCAAAAAGCCTGAAACCTGTCTTGGTTTACATGTTATTGTATAAGTTCACTATTCTTGATTTCTGTGGTCAAGAGGAACTCTTTTCAGGACGTTAGATCCCAGAACTCACTTGGAAAAGGTTCTAATTTCGGAAATTATATGTTTTCGCGCATTAGTTGCTAAGTTGACCTTCAGCTCACATTTCCCATTAGGAAAATCCCTCAATGTCTTTGGTTGATGTACCATTTTAGTACGCTATTATGTGGCTCTTCGAAGGACGTTTGTATCATGTATAAATAAGCTCGATTATTGTGCCTGTCGACCTCATATTTTCTGGGTGCTTGTAGAATACGCACTCTACGCCCCAACAAGACTTCTTGATATAGTTAACCGGGCCATAGACAAACGGATCAGAATAGCCTATCGTGTCACTGAGTCATTACTCTTCGTTCCGTTTACAGATGTCGGTGAACTCATAATAGATTAGAGCATATCAGTTGACGAGCATATCAAATTCCAAACATATATAGTTCCCGTGAGTCAACCGAGTTTCATCTTAATTGGATTAGACAACGCTGACATTCCGAATTATCCATATCGATTCCACTAATTTCAGTCAGCTTTTTCACAACTATCTCTTTCTATTAAACTTCTACAACCGTAGAAAAGTGATAAGTTCGTCACTTAGTATGCTTGAGGCTATTACGAGTTTACCTTAGTCGATAAACGCGAACGAGACTTTTACCAGCTTCCAAGGAGGCTACCTTGAATCCGAGGCTGAAGTGAAAAGGCCTTGTGAGCGTAGAAAGTATATTCTACAAACACCCAACAATCACAGTACAATCAAGCATACAACTCTCGTTTATTTATACAACATAGGAACGTCCTCGAGACGGTTAAGAAAATAGCATACTAAAATACACTGCAGCCAATCACAGCTATGGAATTTGCTGGTGGGAATTGAAATCTCAAGGTCATCTGATCAGCCCATGCTGGCAAAACGTGAAAACCAAAATACGGCATTATCAAGCGAATTTTGGGGATCTAACATCCCCAACACTCCTCCCCTTTTTAATAGCGTGTTCTCCTGGGGTCGACTTGCAACTTGACTATTGTTCGTCGCTGTCTGAGGGGATACCTTCGGGAACGAAGAACAGCTTGCTGCTGAATTTCATCTCGTTGCGGGGCTCTCGGTAGTTTGAAGGTATGAAGCAAGATGTCAAGGGGAAGGCTTTCTGCTCTTGATGGGCGATCTGGGGCTAGCCGTCTACGTATCTGATTCCGATGACGTGACCATTTACCACCTCCTACCTCTACTTCGTACCCAACTCGACCAACCCTTCTGACCACTCTCGCTTCTGCCCAAGGACTATGGTTCTCCCATCAGGATTTCAGCTGGGGACTTTTGCTCCGGTAACAATTCATTTGGTGTTG